GAAACTTGTGAAATCCACATTGATACCATTGGGCTGCAGGGTTCCCAGCCTATCCAGCTTTTCTTTACAACTCAAACCCTCCAGTCCCACAACATCCTGGTAAATCTGTCTGAATCCTCTCCGATTTAATACTATCCTTCTTACAGTAGGGCGACCAGAACTGTAGAACAACACTCATGCAGTATGTATGCCGCAGACAAGTGGATACATGATGCAGGTGTGAGATTGTTGTGGTATTGGACAAAGGCTGGATGGCTGGCTTGTAATGTGACCCTCAGGCTAAACCATCAAAGGTTGTCTCTAATGAGGGAGTATGGTCTGCTACAGCAACATGTCCACTCATGTGACTGCCGACATCCATGATGACAAACTGCTTGGCTTTGTGTCTGTTGCTAAAGGACAAGGCAAGGCAGAAATATTGTACATCTTTAAGGTGCAGCTGTGGGGGCAAAATGTATGAAGGGAAAGCGGAGATCCTGTGAGTATCCAAGTTGGTGCAGGGTGAATGAGCGCTAGCAGAGCAAGCAATGTGTCCCTGAGGTGTGGCCAGGTACAATCCATGAGCTGGGTTCCTGTCCCTGGACACAATGTGTCCTGTATTGCAATGACAAGTGCACTCCAAAGTGCAGATCCCGGTTGTAATTGGGTTGGAGATATGCCAAGGGGGTGCAGTGAGACTGGTACATGTCTAATGCCAGGTGCTGGGCAGGCAGTTGCTGCCCATGGAATGTGCCCATTGGAAACATTGGTGACCGCAGCCCAAGGCTCAGAGAAACAAGTGGCAAACTGAAGTCTCCAGATGCCCATTCTGGGGGGACCTGGTCGACGTGTACAAAGTTCTAAGGGGCATAGATAGGGTAGCTAGGGAGAAATATTGCCCCTGAGTAGAGGAGTCAATTACTGGGAAGAGTGGAGAACGGTTTTAAGGTAAGGAGCAGCAGGTTTAGAAGGTTTTTGAGGCAATAGTATTTCAGCCAAAGGCTGGTGAGTATCTGGAACTCACTATCTGTAAGGGTGGGAGAGATAGGAATCTTCAAATATTTAGAGTCATGGAGACATAGAGATATACAGCACGGAAACAGACCCTTCAATCCAACCTGCCTACCAGATACCCTAATTTAGTCTAGTCCCATTTGCCAGCATTTGGCCCATATCCCTCTAAACCCTTCCTATTCATGCACCCACCCAGATGCCTTTAAATGTTGTAATTGTACCAACCTCCACCACATCCTCTGGCAGCTCATTCCATACACACACCACCCTCTGTCTGAAAAAGTTGCCCCTTGGGTCCCTTTTAAATCTCTCCCTTCTCACCTTAAACATATGCCTCTAGTTTTGGACTCCCTTACCCTGGGGAAAAGATCTTAAGAATTATTTAGATAAACACTTGAAACATCACAGCAGACAAAGCTATGGGCCAAGTGCTGGAAAATGGAATTCGGATAGATGGATGTTTGATGACATGATGGGCCAAAGGGTTTCCTTCTGTGTTGTAAAATCTCTATAGCCTTTTGACGCTGAATTGTCACCATCTAATGGGTGAATGGGAACCTCCATATCATGAGGCTAGATTAAATAATAGGTAGTGTCACGATTGTCCTACCAGACGATAGGGCTGCTCTCTCATTAGAAAGAGAGAGAGAGAGAGATGACTGTTGGTGATGGTTTAAATTGAAAGTCACCACACCCCAGGTGAGGGGAGAGGTTGAGAAGGAGAGTCCTTCATGGTAACCTCAGCTTGTGCAGGAATTGACTCCACACTCTTGGCATCATTCGCCAGCTGTCCAGCCAACTGAGCTAACCAACCCCATACAAATGGATGCAAATACTCCTCACACTCACAAGACTCTTGTCTCACTGTTCAGAAGTTGGTTGCAGAAGCAGTCTCTTTTCTTTTGACATCCAGAATCTCATTTCTGCCAATCTCACCCTACTTTCCCAATTGACTTGTCAAGGCCCATGTCGTTTGGCACTGGAAAAGATCCCACCTCTCATCTTAGTAATGACGACCATGAAGCTGTCATCAATTGTTGTAAAAATCCCATCAAGTTCCCTGATGTCCTTTAGGGGAAGAATTCTGCAGTCCACTCACTAATCAGTACTCTTTCCTCATACACTATAAAAAAGTTGTCCCACCTTTACACTGGTATTCTTGCATATAGTCCTGATGAGGATAAGACGAACAGCATTGAAAAAATAGGTGTTTTTCAACAATATACAAGCTCTGCACTAACAAACAGTAATTAAATATTATAATCTGACTGAAAGATTCCTTTAAAAATTAAAAGCTTGTGTTTGTTTCTATTCCACAAGGGCGTCCCTAGTTCCAGTATTTTCCTTTGGTGAGAATGAAGTGTTTGATCAGGTGAACAATCCAAAGGGCTCACTGTTAAGAAAGATCCAGGAACGTTTGCAGAAGGTGATGGGTATATCACTCCCCCTCTTCCATGCCCGTGGTGTATTCCAGTACAGCTTTGGTCTCATGCCCTACAGAAAGCCCATTCACACAGTGGGTAAGTAACACCACCGTATTTGAAGGCATCTTGCTACATGCTTGGCCAACATCATCAGCCAAAGTTAAGACTTCTCAATGAGTAAATTAATTGTCAATTCACTTCAGAGGACCAGAATGGGAAAATGGCTGAGGGAAAAGTACTCAACAACTGACATTTAATGGACAGATACAAAACATAATCAGAAAGGCTGGTGGATAGTTGATGTTCACATCAAACAGGCTGGAAGACAAAGGGGTGGAAGTTACATTCTAGTTGTTAAAACTTCAATCAAACTGGAATAACTGGTGTTTTGTTCCAGACACTGTACCTCAGGGAGGATATAGAGTCTTTAGGAGGTGGTACAGTTTGGATTCACCAAGCTGGTACCTGGGCTAGAAGGGTTAAATTGATGAGGACAGGTCTCATAGATGATGTCTATACACTATTAAGTTTATAAGATTGAGGGGTGATCTAATTGAAATATTTAAGATGACATATTTGAGAAGTGTTAGAGTGAGCAAAAACTTTATGTTCCTCACCTTCTGCCTATAATTACTTCAACTGTTTGTGAAATCGACTTTAAAGTGACATGCAGCAAATTTTCATGAAGGAGTTATCCAGCTATGAATTGTAAAAACAAAAATGTAGCTATCTGAATACAGAGTCCAATGAGAGGGAATTCCTTGCAGTTAGATGTTAAAGTCCGTGAGATGGTCAGGTGCTGAAGACAGGAATTCTAGAGATTCCTGAATGTAAGTGATGATGTTTGGAGTCAGGGGACCCGTTTACTTTACAGGCAAATACAAAATCCCACTGGAAAGAGAGTTCACAAGAACATAAGAACCAGGAGCAGGAGTAGGCCATTCAGCCCCTCGAGCCTGCTCCCCCATATATATGATCATGGCTGATCTCATCTCAGCCTCAACTCCATTTTCCTGTCTGCTCTCTGTAACTCTTCAACCCATTACTAATTAGCAATCTGTCTTCTCCTTAAATTTACTCAGCGTCCCAGCATTTTGCAGAGTTTTAGCTTTAGTTCTTTGGTTTTAGCCCATTGCTTACTTCAGACAGGCATAGGTGTTAGCTTGTAGGCTTGCTTTCTTGTTGCTGTTTTTATTGTAGACTGACTCAAGGATTCGTAAATAGTGGTTAAAATCCTTCAAAATTCATCGTTACTTTGATTATGAGGTGAGGAGGTAGAGTATTTAAACAATTTATGGCATTGCCCATCTCACATAAACATGGCAGAAATTGGTCATTAGCGACATAGTCGACTTTCTCTGTAATTGTCACACAATTCATACAATTCAAGCCATGACATTCAGGGGTAACATCACAAAGAAGGGAGTAAAAGTCTGAAACTGCCTCCTATGAAAGGCTGTCGAGATTGATATCAATGTATTTCTAACAGCAGATCCTCTGCTCCAAGAGGGCTCATCACAATCCAGTTTCTATACCTTAGAGTCTGACCTTAGGGTCCAGGACCAGAGGGCATAACCCCAGAGTAAGGGGTTTAAAACAGCGATGAGGACAAATTTCTTCTTTATTTCAACAAAAACTTGAGGAGTTGGTAAATAGTGAGGAAGGTAGCCTTAGATTATAGAGGATTTAGATGGACAGGTCAGATGGGTTGATTAGCGCCAAATGGATTTCAATCCGGGTAGGTGTGACGTGATGCAGTTGGGCAGGACAAATACCTGATGAACAGCACTGTGCAGACACAATGGGCCGAGAGTCCTTCTTCTGCAGCCTAATAGTTCAGTGATGGGCTGCCCAAAAGGTTGGACAAAGCCGTTTCAGCTGGAATTTTCTGCAGGGAGCCGTTAAAACACTGGAGGGGGACAAAAAGATGACACAAGGCTCATGGGGAAAGAGAGCAAGGCAGCCTAGACAGGGCAAATTGCATGTCCGTACCAAAAGAACCAGGGTGTCAAACGACCTCCTTCTGTGCCACATTGTTCAACAATTCTTATGACTCCATTTGATAAAGTCATTTGTTTCATACTGTCAAGCAAATAACAAATAAATCTTACTCTCAATTTTAGTCGGCAAACCCATAGACGTGGAGAAGAAAGAGAATCCAACGCAACAGGAAATTGATGAAACGCATCAGAAATACATCGAGGAACTCATCAAACTCTTTGAGGAGCACAAAGCAAAATATAAGCTGGCCGAGGACAAGCATCTAACTTTTATCTGAGCTCCTTCTTCTTAACTGCACTCTTGATTTCGCTTTCCATCTGCCATTCCATCTGTATGAAGTGACTGATTTGGAGTTGGTGCTGGATGGAATGAGTTGCTGAGTGGGATGCTCTGTGTTTCTGGGAAAATATCAAAAGACATCCAATTTGGGCACTCAGTGAACAGAATAAAGATGAAAGCCTGTGTGGTATTCGATTTTTTTCTGCTATTTTCCACTATATGCTGAGGTCTTGTTTAACAAACTATCAGGGCAGGACATATATAGGATCTTCTCCTCAGTAACCATGGAAACACATAAATGATCCCAAACTGGGATATCGCTACATAGAAAGCTGGTTCCCTGAAACCAGACCTCTACCCTGAGTGGTAGGAGAGCACAAATTTTAAGGTATCAAACAAATAAACTATAGATGGATGCTGGAAGGTAGAAACAAAAACAGAATTTGCTGGAGAAACTCAGGAGGTCTGGCAGTATCTGTGGAGAGAGAATCAGAGTTAATGTTTTGAGTACAGTGACACTACTTCAGAACCATTCACAGGGCCAGTAATAAGGGAGCTCTGCACTGTCGGAGGGTCACTGCTGAGGGAGCTCTGCACTGTCGGAGGGTCACTGCTGAGGGAGCGCCGCACTGTCGGAGGGTCA